AGACGTGGTGCTATGCATTACTGCCAGACATCTCCACTTTGATCCCACCTGTCCAAAGGATCACAAGTCTTGTGGTTGGTTCAGATGTAACTTTGCTGCCATGTTGTTTTTAGAGAGAAGAGGCTTTCTCCTGGGAACCCTGTAAAACAAGCCATACCTGTCCAGTCTTTTTCTAATTGTAATACATTATTGCATCATATTGCACCAGACCAGCAAACTTATAGCAAATGATCAGTTTGTTTAGCAGCACCTGGCTGCTACTTCGTAAGTCCTGAGGAAGTGGTAAGGATGTGCTTACCGAGAAAACCTTTATTTTCATGCAAATGTATGGTTATCAGAGAGCTTTTTAGAGACCAAACACAGGGCTAAATTAGATAAATTAGTAATCATACTTACACGTTTCCTGATAGGTTTCGCATAGCAGCTTAAAATGTGATAATAAGTCAGTGTCATGTTCACTAACGACTTACATCCATGTAGTAAAGAGAATAAGACTCAATACAGTGCATAGAGTTTGTGAATCGAGTGAATCTTAAAACATTTTTAAGCTTCTGTATAACCCACTAAATCAGCGTCTGTGCTGTGTTTTCAGGTGATGGTGCAAATGATGTAAATATGATCCAAGCAGCTGACATTGGCATTGGGATATCTGGACAGGAGGGGATGCAGGTTGGAATTGATTTCTTTACCTCCATGTATGTGCTTTGTTCTCCTGCCTCACAGCCTAAAACATATCAAAACTCCTCTTTGTCATCTGCAGGCCGTCATGGCCAGTGATTTTGCCATATCTCGCTTCAAACACCTGAAGAAACTTCTCCTGGTCCACGGACACTGGTGCTACACTCGACTGGCCAACATGATCATTTATTTCTTCTATAAGAACGTGGTGAGTGTTATATGTTATATCTGCATCCCGATGCTCTGCTGTCTAAATTAACATCCTGTCATGATTCATCCTTTAATCGTCTGTGTTTAATATGTTTCCCAGGCCTACGTAAACCTGCTGTTCTGGTATCAGTTCTTCTGCGGATTCTCTGCCACTGCCATGATCGACTACTGGCTGATGATTTTCTTCAACCTTTTCTTCACCTCTGTGCCACCCATAATGTTTGGACTCATGGACAAAGACATCTCAGCAGAGATGCTGCTGGGTGTGCCCGAGCTGTACAAGACTGGACAGGGTGAAGGGGTTAGTGACACTCCCAAAAAGTCATGCGAGCGTTCGGTCTTGAATAAAAATGTGCAGAATGCTTTGATTAGTTTCTGTCTTCATGAATTCCAACTTTTGTGTTGTTTGTTCAGGATTACAGGTTTACAACTTTCTGGGTTTCCATCCTCGATGCCTTCTATCAGAGTCTGGTCTGCTTCTTTGTTCCATATTTTGTAAGTGACACATTATAAAACAGTCTAATCTTTGATTGCATTAAGTAATGCTTTCATAACAGGGCATCATTTGATTTATTTACTGGTTAACTACTCTATGTGATAACTGCTTTCTTCTTTATATTTGATACTGTACTTACTTTAATTACTTGTATCTCAGGTCTACCAGGATTCAGACATTGATATGTTCACTTTTGGAACACCTATGAACACATCTGCTTTATTTATCATCCTGATGCATCTGTCAATAGAGATCAAATCCTGGGTGAGTTCTGAACTGACATAATCATGATATACCTCAGTAGAAATGTCTTTAATTCACTTCTTTTTATTAGTGCATATTTGAATTCTAACATTTTTAAGACCTCTAAACTGGTTTTAAATGAAAGGAAGACACACATAAATTAGAAAATGCAATAGAGAGCTAACCCAGATGGTTTTTCTATGTTTCCAGGAGAAAATGTTCTTGAAATCTGGATGATGTATAACAGCCTCTCTGTGAAAACCTTGTGAATATAGGCAGAATAAAGTAAAACTAAGGAATAAGGATCTACATCATTTTTTCAGTATTCATTTTTAATCCACAGCTTTTACTCCAAATATTCAAAATACAAATATTCTCTTTTTAGAATCTCTTTTTATCTCTTTTTAGAAAGACTAAATTTTATTTACTAACAAACCACTAAACTTATTCCTAACTTTTTATACATATGCATATTTTCCAAAATGTTAAGTGAGGTATTTAATTTATATGCAAGTTCAACAGAAGGTAATAATTTTTTTAAAGCATGGAAACAAAGTAATGCAAAAAAAAAAAAACTGATGAAGAGGGCGGGGTGCATGAAAAAAATCTTATTGCTGTAAATATTTCTCTTGCAGCAGAAAACAGAGAATTAACGGGTATTTGTTGCTAACTGGATTGTTTCCACCACGTGTAATTGCTGTTTTTTGTCATTTGTGCCGCAGACGGTGGTTCACTGGATAATCATGCTGGGCAGTGTGGCATTGTACTTCATCGTGACACTCGCCTATAGCGCCGTCTGTGTAACCTGCAACCCTCCCTCTAACCCATACTGGATCCTCCAGAGCCAGATGGAGGACCCCATGTTCTACCTTATCTGCATCCTCTCCACTGTGGTGGCTCTCCTGCCCAGGTACCGTGTCTGTCACTCTTTAAACTCAGTGGGGTTGAAGATTTTTAATTGTCCAGAGTTTTGGGGTGTATTTGTGAGCACTTTCTAGCGTTGGTAAGTCTTTTCAGTGTCAATGTTTAACCCCTTAGCAGTCCTATTAGTCCCCTAAACCATCCAATGTCCCGTGGGCGGTACGTCCGACTGCTAACAGTTTAACAATCACATAGTCTAATTTTAAAATATGAGCAGCATAAGGTGGGTTTTGCTCAGTATTTCCCTTCATTTCTACTTTAAGGAGTCACCAAATGTGAAAGGATGTACATATACTTACAGATCTATTATTATAGAAAAGCAACAATTAGCTGCACAGGTGTTAATTAACACTAAGGATATTAAACTCTAACGTTCTCCATTTTTTGTCATATGACAACCAGAGGAAAATAAAAATGTTCTGAAATTAATAATAATAATTTATTTTAATAAATGTATTTTTCGTTCAGCACAGTCAACGGTACGGTGACTCAAAATGGAATAAAGAGAAAAAGCAGCAAATATTCTCTATTTTTAGTTAAAGAATGACTCATTCAATGCTGAATTCATGTTCACAATATAACTCACTTCTTAATCGATTTTCAAAAAACCCATTTGAGCAGTTTTCCTATTATGTTTATATCTATTTCCTAATACATGTCTATTTGTGTTGGATTTTCTAGCCCAATGGTTCTCAACAGCAAATCTGAATCATCCTGCGGTTTTTAAAGGGAGCAGACAATGCTACTTTTCTCTAATGCTACCCTTTTCTTAGCCACTTAAAATCTTTAAAAAAATAATAGAACATCTCTGCACAAAAGGCCATAGATAACCTTAGATGAGCGGCAACAGAAAAAACAACAAAAATAGAAATCACTATTTTAGTCTACATTTGCACACATATTTAAAGCTAGCGGGTCTCCTATTTTAATTACTTATATTGATCTAGAGCACGCTTTGACTTGTGTACATCATTAACTGCTATGCAATTATGAGGCTCTTACGGTGTGTAAACCCTACCTGCAGAATTGTAGTTAAATATTGTTAAACGTGAAGGTCAAGAAGGACTGCACCACAGCTTGGTCTTCTTCTTCTCGGTTGCTGATGCGTCTGAAAGTGCTGATATTTAGAGAGAACGCTCTGATTTACATCAAAGGGCTGCATATTTTTCACTGGCCTACTTTCTCACCACCACACTCTCTCCCTCAGGTACATTTTTCACGTGCTGCAGAACTCTATCGCCCTCTCCCCGTTCATACAAGCTAAGCATCTGGACCGTAAGGACCCCTCCATCAGAGAAGAGTGGATGAAGGAGTTGAGGAGCTACAGGGGCGGCGGGCAGGTCAAACGCTCTAGGCTCTCTACCCCACCCTCTCCGACCCTGGAGACCCCTGTGGACTTCATTCACGAGTCTCTTGCGGTTGCTGATATCATGGGGGATGATTTCACACTGAATGCCACAACTAAAAACTAGCAAAAGTCTGCAGACTCACAGGGAACATGAAGGGGAAAGGAATTCTAAGATGGTTATTTATTCAGAGGATTTTATATACATGAAGTCCCCCTGTATACATTGTTTCATTTTTGAAATGCAATCAGGGAGATACTGCTGCTCTCTAACTGGAGTTTATTTTGCAATAAACTACGTGACAAAAGCATGTGGGCCGTCTGTTCCTTCCTCTCCTCCTAACAAAGTAACACATAAGCCTGTTAGTTTCCTGATGGGGTTTCAGCGCATAGTGGTAACCCAATTAGTCATGCCACCCACCCCTTCAAAAAGTGGCACTTTTCCAGGACAAAATGCTTAGCTGGTTTAGTGTGGTCCTCTCACCTAGATATCCTAAACAGCCACAGTTACAGATCCTCTATTTAATTTGCTGCCATTATTAATATTATTAGTGGCATTTATAAGCTAGCCTTGGAGTAATTTTTGTGTTCGGTATGCATGTCTGTGAAAATTACCATGGAAATGCATGGAAATCAAATTTTATTTTCCACACCAACAACCAGTGTGTGTGTGTGTGTGTGTGTGTGTGTGTGTGTGTGTGTGTGTGTGTGTGTGTGTGTGTGTGTGTGTGTGTGAGTGAGTGAATGTTTGTGTGTCAAGCTTTATGTAAATCCAGCTGGAGCATCTACATCAAACAAGCCAAAAAAGATAAATTTAGAAGAATCAGAAGCAAAGACTGCTGCTTTTTTTTAAATGGAAATCGAGTGTGCACAAGCAAATCCACTTGTAAAAAAAGGCTGAGGTATCATTGGTATACCTCATTATACAGTAGCAGCTCTGCTTATATAACGTCCCAT